TTCTGACACTCTGTGAGTCTCTATAAAGTGTATAATATATATACTATACTATATAATCCGTAGTAAATTAATCGATGGGGAATCTGTATATTAGTTATAAGATGAAGTGCAAAAGACAGAAGATCAATGGATTCAAAAGTCCTATGTTTTGTGCTCAACAGCACATTCCTCTATCATTGCGTACGTACTCCTAAGGTCACACAACATGATTAATAGCTTGGTTGTAGGTGCAAATGCACACTGTGTGCACTACAGAGTTAGTCAGTTTCACATCATGTGAGTTGAATGGAATTCATGGTGAAAATCACACAATCATATTTACTCAACATTCTTCGTACACGTTCACAAAGCTCTTGTTTTCACCAATAAAATAGACACTGCTATTTTTAGATTTGTATATTTGCGGTGTTATTCATTCAGAGTAAAAGCAAACTTTACCATCGTATAAGCTGGCGATGTAACAGAGCACTAATCCTTTCAAAAATAGGAAAAACTACCTAATAAACGCATCACTGTTAATATATTATCATATTGATAGAAGGGTGTCAATCAGGCACCCAAAATATGACCAAACGTATATATGTTTTATCGCTTGGTAATTCCTATCAGAATGACAGGCTAAGATTTTCTTACTTAATAACCTGCGCCTGTCATCCCGAAAAAAAGCGCAGGCCGCCGACCAGTGTTTACCAACTTACTCTGTCCTAAACTTCCCCTAACATTTCCGTCCAACGTTTGTTCATTCCTATCATTTCTTTTTTTATTTAAGAGTATTAAAGTTTCCCATTGTGAAAATTAGAACAACAATATTGTTCGCTTATATGTGTTGTTATAACCTTCTTTATTTCTCGACGTTATGTGTTTCTTGGCCTTGCTCTTTTCCTTTTACCTTGAAAATAAGAAATAAATATAACATGCGTAGAGGAATCAACAGTAAGAATAAAACGAACTAGTAAAGACGCAAGACTATTCATTCAGTAGGCTGAAAGAAATACCTAGAACCGAACTGAAAGAACACGAATCGAGCGCAAAATAAGCAATCCGTTTACGTTAGCTTGTGAAAACGTTATTAGATATTGGAAGTAGAATACCTCAATGTAGGCGTAAGAGATTGCTTTTGTTTTTGTTAAAAATGTATAAATTACATTGGAATATAGCATAGTAAAAACAGTTAACATATACAGATTCTTTAATATAGCTATTATATAAAAGGCAGGCGATAAATAAAATCCGAAGTTCTCTGACTTGTGACATTTAAAAATTTCTTTTTAATGCACACTTAAGAAAAACACGGTGAAATGAGGAATCTGAATGTGAAGATTACATACCTTACAGACCTAGGAAATTTCACATCAAATGAGTAGAATGGTACGTAGTGAAAAAAGATCTAACTGATATACTCAGCCGACTATAAAAAAGTTTACACACATTTCTCGTCAATAGCAATGTGGACTGTGATACTTATGAAATGACAGAGAAATTTGATACTAATGTGACGTATATGGTGGCGTTTCTTTCTCTGAGCTAGATGTTTTGATTTTGAAGATTTCATTGTAATTCTGAACTACATCTATTTGAAGTTTTAGCTGATGATTCTTCTCAGAAGAACAATGAAATTATCGATTTCAGCGAACGAGACATCGTCAAAATATATCATGAGAATAATTATTTGTGAAATTTTAGACTTGAAATGAAATTCTGAATAGAAAGTTTGCTATTCAATGGTCAAAGTAACCCTATAGTTAAACGGTCAGCGACTGCATTTCGTGGAAAGATTGGCTCGCTAAAAACGATAACATGTTAATTAGGTCGTAGAATTATCATGAATCTAGAAAGTTTTAGACGAACAACACGATATCTGTGTGTCACTTTGAAAATCAAACAGATAAAAAGCGAACAGGAAACGGAAAAGTTGATTTTTGAATTAGTAATACCTTTTTAATGAAAGCTGATCTCGATCTGAATATATTCTAGTTGTCATGAGCTTTCGATTGACTCATGAACTACCGAGGCATACAGCAACACTGCTTATTCTGCGACGAGTCTATAATATATAGTCTATTCTATTCACAGTCTCTTTTTGGCATGTTCATGCGTAATTGTTGTATCTTTTCAGCTTATGGTGTGATGCATTCTGGTCTGTGTGCAAATAAATTACACCCATTGAAAATAGGAGCATTCTACACTGTGGTTGCTGACTTCTGGACTGAAAAGCAGGGCAGAGAGGAGCAAAGTAATCGTGAACTAATAGTAACTGCTGTAGTGAATGACAATTGTTGATTTTAGGCATACATGTAACTGACGAAATTCATGTTGAAATAGCTACGTTAGTGAAGAATAGAATATCACTTGTGATAGTCTATATGTATCGTGTGAAGTAGAGTGATACACGTTAATATGAAGTGCCACAAACGGTTTGATCGTGTTGAATCAGTAAACACTGGAACTAATGTCATTGATTCCACGAAAATGAATGGGCTAAGGTTGACTGTATGTAATAAATGTATCAATAGATAACATAACAATTGCATTACTCTTTCAAATGCGAATCAGTATACAGTAATGTAAAAATCCTTCACTATTACACAATATATGCTGCGTAGATAACCAGTATCAATTTTCTTTTGATGTGCGTGAATTGCATGCACAGATGTTGATTATCAACCATGATAATAGCGAACGAATTCAGAAAACACTGAAACGACTGCAATTGTGCCTGAATCATTTGTTGTCATTTGTAAATAGCTTGCTGATTTGATCAGTCGCATTTGCCATCAGAGTAATTCTCGTCACTATGCTTGCTTGAATACATAGTAGAATAACGCGAATACCCGAGGAACTCATTAGCAGTGATGTTCAGCTTCCAAACTGTATGAGATCTCAGATCTTTCAACTTATTGTTGTTTGAAGAGTTTTTTCAAAACAAAGCAATTTTAGGTATGTATAGAGATATTGTCAAGTAGACGATAATAAACATTGAGACATATTCTGGAGTAGTTTCATTGTTGACAATTCAGCATATTAGTAATAAAATAAACAGGAAGCATAGATGCCAGATTGATGAATCCAGAAGTTGTCCGGCTTATGCTAATCAACAAAATACTATCTAGTTGCATACCGACAACAAAATAAGTGTGATGCTAATAAGCATAGCAATTAGTAAATGTGCAACTGTGTATTGTAAAAAGTTTGCAAATTTCACATCAAGTGAGTAGAATGGAATTTATTCTGAGTGTCACGCCATCGTATCCGCTCATCATTGTTTGGAAAAGTTCACAAAACTCTTGTTTTTATTATTAAAATAGACACTGCTATTTTAAGATTTGAATATTTGTGGTATTTTTATCGGCCGATGTTTGTGATTGCAGTCTATTTTATTACGTTTAAAATGATGTGGTTTATGCCAGCTTAGTCGTGTGTTGGCTTGATGATGCACGCAATTACATTGTTTCGATTTGCAAGATCTTTCTTTCTAAAGGAAAAATTCATTTTTTATGTGGTAGAATAAATGAAACTAACTGTTGTTCTTTTGACGTCCATGTCAATTACAGTTTTCAGTGTTTCCACGAATTTTCGTAAACAAATCTTTGTTCCTCCGAAAAATTGGTAAAGGATACAACATATTCTGACAAACGCTTACTAAAAAAGATATTTATTTCAAAAGATTTTACTACGTAAATCCAAATGTATCACATCCGCATAACTGACATTTATTACTGCATTTTCACTTAGTTTTGCCGGATCAGAACTTAGAAGACGTGCCGCGGAACTGGAAGAATCTGCATCTCATCAACATATCAGATTAAGATTTCAATGAATATCAGGAAAACAAAGACATCATTCTTCTTTAAATATTTGAAAAAGCCTGACAGTAATATTCTGCAGATGGCCTATAGCGAGATCAACAGACTGGATTTTGTAAGGATCGATTGCTGATGACAAAGAAACTTGTAAAGTAAACCTGTGTATTTCTGCTGTACGACAGTGGGTCAACTCGAAAACATGTCACTTCTGACTAACATAACACAACCTAACCAAAAGCGCTACCGTTAGAACTGCCTACAGCGTAGTCCGACGGTTTATGGAATTGGTGAGATACCGCTGGTTGTAACAAGCGAAAATTTAAAAGTCCTGTTATCTTTGAATAAATTCACTAATAGATCTTCTTTCAATGTCATTCCTCCATGAAGTATGTGAAATATGGATGCTTATTGAACTATCAAAAGATCTGAACTCTGTCACATGTCCGATTTCGTGGTTTTGGACTGTGAGGTATACTCATCAACCCAGTGACGTTAAGCAAGCTAAAAGCTGGGAAGTCACGCGTGCCCGACGTTCACAAGATAGTGTTGATCGGCAATATTCTACGGAATAAAATGAAGATCTATAGACCGGACATAATCAGTCACAACATGTTGTGGCAGAAAACATCCAGATCATCCTAAGTGAAGCGAAAATAATGCAAAGGCGCAGGATATAAACAGCAGGCACCTTATGAAAATCACCCTACTCTGTCACAAAACAACTTCATAATAGTAACTCGGATGGCCGAAATGAATGTGATAGACAGAGGAACACACAGGCCAAAGATCGGACTCCAGAAGATTGAACAGCGATTGTTTACAATCGAGAAAGAAGGTCTATGGCAAAGGTAGTTGGAGAATTTCGATGAGCAGTCAATCCTCCATAAGGATGATAAGTTTTAGAAAATTATTGAGAAAATAATAGAAAAGAAACATCGGACTACTACTATTTTGTCCATCAGTCATTGTTTGAATGCGAGAATGTTCTCAGCCAATTGTCATATCCGTAAATCAATTTGTTTTTAAACACTCGTCCAATATAACCATTTAGAATCATGCATAAAATACATCGGCCTGATAATCTTATCAGTCCTGATTATTTGATTGGCATTTATTTTTATCAAACCTCATAAACCAATAAACAGTGTTTGCTGTAGGTATAAAACCATAAGAACAAAGTGAGTTGGTTCAGAGAAAATGAACTACATATTTGTGTTTTGTTTGAGCGCGTTGTTCTTCCTCGTTTGTGCATCTGCAGATTTCGGTAAGTAGTAAATATTTATGAATGCACCTTATCAATAATCATGATAGTATTTGTATTTACTACTGTGATATTTAAAAACAAGCATGATTGACAGTTGTTGTTATACTTTGTCGTGTAGCTAGATGAACATTGATTTATGCACATTTCGCCGACCAATGTTGCCTTTCAATGGATGGATAAAATTCCATTGTTCCCATATACTACTGTGAGACGTAATAATCACATTGTAAATGTTCAAATCAATACCTTATTCTCGCTTGTTTCAGGATCTTCGAAAGAATGGATAGAAATATTACGGAAAGAATTCGAGAAAGAACTCAACATAAACGAATGTAAGTTGTAGTCTGAACATATTTTGTCCTAATCTATTTGAAAGCTAACATACAACAGGAGGGAGGGTGGAGTTTCTGACCAGCATTCATGACGGTGGGGCGATAACCTCAATCTACCCATGTCTGTGTGGCAGAACATTTTGTTTGCTTACGGCTCCTTACGATATAGCAGGATGTAACAAATCAGTGATATTGATGTTACTTTTCCTTTTTAACCTCGTCTACAACCCATGTCTGTAACCTTGCACTGGTTTTTACTTCCTACCGAGAAATCCTATTACAAGCTGGTCTGGATAACTATACTAAAAAAGAGCTCATTCATAATTTCTTGAGCTGCAGATTTAAAAATAAAAGAATATATAAAACAAAAAATTATATAACTGAGCCTCTTTATTATATTTTGTAAATCAACATTATTACTAACAACTTGGTTCTTCTGAATTTCCTCTATTCTTTCGACTAACTTCCCAATAGTTATCTCACCAATAATTTGTCTTCATTAACCTACATAAGTGCAGGTGTACAGTAATGATATTAAAAAAGTCTGAGTAAACATACCTTTGTTTTATCTATAAACGTATTTTCTGTTCCGCTCCTTGTCCCGTCTTCTTTATTCCTCTTTTTTCAGAACCTTATTCCACTCCTCATATATTAGTCTGGATATTTGCAGTAGACTTGGTTACCCTACCCAAGAACATGTAAAATCATTAGCTGATGAATATCAACCAGACCTTTGTACATTTACCGCATCAATTCTAGTTATATGCAAACCTATCTCTACCATGAATCGTTTCTCAGTCCATAAGATGATTGTCGTAACGCAACCTTCGTAACTTGCGCCAATTATTCGTATTGAACATTCCATCTTTAATAACAATGAATCTTGTGAAATGTTTCAGTAAATGTATACCGTTTTAAAAGAAATATGTTGTTAATCTTAACATTTTGATCTTGCCTGTAAATTGGCATGTCTCTTGTAACATGTTTGTTATTTGAGAATAAATTATTATTATTATTATTATTATTATTATTATTTTTATTTGTTCAATTCATCATGTTGTATTTCTTGATAAATAAATTTAAATTCACTGATAATCAACAGTAAGTAAGCATATGACAACTGATACAAGTGAATTTTCATTTCTTCTCGATTACATCAAAAACACTTGTCAACAGCACAACCATTCACTCATTGATTCATTTCTATACATAATAAATTGTTAATCAGAAGAACATTATATATTGGAGTTGATGACAATATTGCATGCTGCATGTCAGAGTGAATATGGTTTATAATAACTCATGTTATTACATGTTATCACATTTCAAATACTCTATACAATCGGTCACTATTGATTTTCTAAATTTACTTACTGACATAGGCCTGTTACCTCTAATATAGCATTCACCAACCTATCCCGTACTGAACCTTTTACCTAAATTTGTTCAACTTTCATCCACTATTCCAATGCCCCATCCAGTAGAACTGTCTTAACAATTGTTGTTGGGTCAACATTGATTGGGAAGTCCGTAGACGCTGCTTCAGTTTTGTGTGAGTCAAGTCAGACTGAGCTATTCGGAGTGCTCTACACAATTGTTTCGCTGTTCTTCAACGTTGGTGATTGCTTTGACTTGGTCGCACTCCACTAGTCGTTTTGGTTTGTCATGGATTCCAGTGATTTCTTTGCTGTATCATGCAATTACCCCATGTTTCATTCTCTTGCAGCTTTCTCTTTAGTCGTTGCCAGATCTTCCACACATCTTCGACACTTCTGATGCTCTTCTTTACTTGCTTTTTTCATCTGTCTAATCAGCTTAAGACCTGGATCTCCCTTTTCTTGTTCAGCCGGTATTGTTTGCCAGATTCTGGCTCCTAGTTTCTTGAATTCTATCCAAGATATCAACAGTGATCCGTTCCTTATGATACTTCAACTTTTAGCTCGGAACCTCACAATGTATTGAAGCAACCATCTACTTGATCACTTCTCAGTTGTTCTATATGGTGGCCTCCTCTTCATTCAGTAGATCTAGTCCAGTATCCCTGAGGGTTTAGCCACATCTTGTCGACATGAGTGTATATCAGCAACTCTTTTGAGCCTCACGTCCTCCATGTCTGTTGCCAACTCTCTTTTGATTCAAACGTTGTCGATTGAGTTCTGTATTGTGTGGTCCGGTGAGATCGATGTCGCCTTGCGCATGCGTTTGCCCAGGAATAAGCTGTTGTTTATGACGATTTTGTTGGAGTCTCACAAGTTTTAAAATCTCTCTAAGACTTTGTTCCTTTCTCCAAGTCCTTGTTTGGCGCTTCTCGACGACTGAATATAGTCTGTCATTCAATTGATCTTTAACCTCCTAACTGTATGGCGTTCATCGTAGGGTCCTCTATCTTTGACTTCGAAAATGCTCTGATGATCCTGATCCCACAAGATTCCCATTGTATCGCTACCATTTGCGCCTGTTTTAAAAGTGTCAGCGAGACTTCTGGAGTACGTGTAGCATTCTCTTTGTCACGGCCGGAGTAATACAGTAATACTCTTGCATCTGGTTAATGATATCCAAACAGCTTTCAGTGTTTTGTGCTGATTCTAAGTGATGTCAAGTTGTTTTTTTTCATTAATTAAGTAAATTCTAATTGCTGGTCGTATATAAAAATTTCTTTGAAACATAATTTCAGTATTTCTTATTGTGACTTCCATGTTTCTCTCTATTAAACCGCTCGGACACACATTTTCATGTTAGGTTTCTATGAGAAACACGAGTTCCTCCGTACTGCGAATTTCGCACACTCGCTAACATAAACAGCAACTCGGATTTCTGCTTTTGCGTTCGATATTTGTTTTCCGTGAATGGAGCTTTTGAGCGACCTATCAGTAGAAAGCACATACAGTAATGTGATAGATTTACCAACTTCATTTTGTAACCTGAAATGTGGAAAGGGATGGTAGTGAGCGAAATGTCAAAAAATATAACATTCTCAACACAATTTACAAACATATCATCCGTACATTTTTTGAATAGATCAAATCTGTTGATGACTGAACTGATTTGACACGAACCAACCTTAGACTAAGTTTCATGGTATATTACATTGTCTATACTGAAATGAACGTCAAAAAAAGTGAAACTTAATCATTTGTCTTTCACAATAATCACATACTTAGTCTATCGTTTAAACTGATGTTTGTGCATTGGATAATAGAGTAGTAAAACCAAAAGAGGAATTGAATTTTCCAATCACTTGAAAGTCAAACTTTCAGTGTTGCTTCTCATCTCTGAGATTTCAGAACCGCTCAAACTAGCTATATAGTCTTAGTGAATAAAAATGTTTAATTCATAATTATAATTACAACAAAATTCATTCATTCAGTAATTTTCTTCAATAAATGTTCAATCATTCATTATATAAGAAAAAGTATATAGAATAATCTTTTAAATATCCTATAATAAATACATATAAACATGTAAGCAAGAAATATAGTTTTCTCATCGATATAACAATATTTTATTTTAATGTAGCGAAGTTAAAAGAACACATAGCCAATGTTACAAAAAGTGAAGTTTCTGTGTCGGAACAAGAAGGTAACTTCCTTCCTTTTACAATAACGTGTTTAAATTAATTGTGAGTTGAAAACGTGAACCGACTGCTACACGTTAATTTGATGGCATGAATAATGTTAACTAGTATTGCTGGCGACAGACATCTAACTTGTTATCATGTGATTGAATGATTACCAATGTCAGTCAGTCAGTTGCAACGTAGAATTTCGTACATATGTACATAAGTTCATGTTGCCATACCACATTAGCACAAAGACGCAAATGTCAAATCAAATCCCATTGTGATAAAGATAGCAGAGGTATTAATGGTAATGAAGAAGACTAGGGTTCGAAGATATTATTCAAGAAGGTTACCAATGTGCTTACATAAAAACTTTGAATAATTTCAGCTTAGTATACACGTATTTATGTCAGTCAAATGAAGCTGAACCAAAAACACGTTAGTCATTTGGAGGGAATTCAGATCAATTACGTTTACATATTCAGATAGAAAATAGGCACTACTACAACAAATAAGACGAGGTTGTTAATGAAATGGCTAATGTTGTGTGTATATTTCCACTAAAGAAACTCCATAATTAGGAATCCATGGAAAGTGGAAAAGCATTTAACAGTTAGCCAAATCTAGATTTCATCAGCACAATGAAAGTTATCAGATACGTACTGAGATTTTGTATTAGTAAATTGAAGTTTATCATAGATTGCCAGTCAAATTCTAGTAAGCCAAGCAAAGCTGTAATCCAAACGAATCACAAATGCTTTTGTATAATGATGATGTGGACATTCATTCAAATCATGTCAACATGTTTGATTAACAAAAAATTAATAATTTTTTTAAATTTGTTTTAATGTTTTCTTCAGTCGAATTCAGGCAAAGGCATCAAAATCAAATTCGCATAATTGATGATTGTATGTAAAATACGATCAGTTTATTTCAATAACATTTTTGATTGTAGATTTGACTTGTACAAGGAAATGGTCGACTGGAAGTATGGGCAGAACCATAACATCAGGTTCGAGGAAGCAGTCTTAATCATTTGTTTGATGTTCGATAATTACCCTCAGTATTGATCAGTATTTAATTTAGTTTTAAAAACATATTAAATATTCTCATATGAATATATTCAACTATATTAGAGTAAAGCATTCTGATGGTAATCTAATTGAAAACAGTAATATGTTCTAATGTTCTAAATTACTTTTCAAAATTCATGTTCATTCAAACCTTAACCATTTAGTATTATGATATAAACTTCAAGCGTCAGCACATCAGTTCACGAACATCGACAACATCAACAACAACAATTATGCTTTCAGCTCGACGTACCATTCTCAGGGAATATTATATTTTGGAAACAGATGGTGATGAACCACATCACAACTTGCATACATCTGCAAATCATGCATGTTAAAACTAGTTTATGTAATCACAGTTCCATATCTACTACTACTACTACTACTACTACTGCTCTCTTTGACTTATAAAGGAAATTTCGTTTCCGTTTTGAAAAAAATTACTAAAGAACATGTTGATCACAACAGGTTTTATATTGGTTTATACGTAATCAAACATTTGTTGAGATACGGCTGTAATAGATTTTTGCAAAACTGTGACCATACCTAACTTGTTAAAATAGAAACTGTTTCTTCTTAAAGATAAATATTTGGAAAGAATGTTACGACTTATAGTTTCTGTCACATTTTATTTATTTGAATGGCGCAATAATTGTGTTTTGCTCAACAATTTCAACTGATATTTGTTTCTGTTTTTATCATTTCAGTTTTGAAAATGCTTTTAGAAACTTTAGAGAAACGATTCGGATGTACGTTCTACTGGGAGCAATCCCTGCATTCACATGTGATGTATATTAGATGTTATTTGAAATTCACCTGTGTAAAACAGTAATTTCATATTATTGAATATAATCATCCCTTTGATATACAAATTCTAATGATGATCTCAATATTCATTTCAATCAATGAACAGTTGAAATCACTTGTTGATATTATTCCTAACTAATTTTACTATTGTTCTTATTCATTTAGACTACATGAAAGACCAAATCACTGATTTAGAAAAATGGATATCATGTTTTGATGCGAAAATCGAGGAATTCGAAAGTAAGCTAGATAAGCTAAAATTAAACACAAACACGTTCGTTCCATAGATGAAATATTGTTATCTGAATAACAAGCATTCATCATGATACAAGAATGCACAGACATGTGAATTTCTCATTTTTTTACATGAAATCAATGACCTTGAAGGCGATTCATCAAATAACGAGTATTCTGTATATAAGATTGTTTGCAAATCTCAGTTAAACGCAATGCCTGATTGGATGAAGAATCATCGATTCGAAGCGAATACTAATCAATCAAATTGAAATTAGGAAGTCTCCAAGAATACTAAATAAATTTTAGGTGATAATTCGAGTCGAAACATTTGAGTTCACCAACATCTATGGTGAACACACTATCAAGAAGGCTGTCGAAATGCGCAGTAATGTCTACAGAGGTTTTGAAGTAACTAAAGGCATTCCATTCAGTCACAGCCAGATAGACCTACTAGAATACGTTCATAGCATACGGAGACTCGCAAACTGTGGATCATCTTTGTTCGCGGATACAACGACTATATTGATGATTTCAGTCCACACGTTGAACGATAAATACACATGATTTTACTGTTAATTTGCATAATTATCAGAGAAAACAAAATTTCTGTTTCTTTCGCCCTTTCTCGATTTGCACACTGAATTGACTGTTAACAAGTAGACCATTTTACAAGCGCAAACAAATAAATCGATGACATACATTACAACTTATGACTTAATGCAGTGTGAATTGTGATTTTCATTTAATTGAGAGAAAATTTTGTAATCAGTAGTGAGAATAATCAAGATCATTATATTTCATTTTTATAGAGATGCAAAGATCTTGTGGATTTGATGCAACAGTTACATATCCTGAAGGTAACGTATAGTTTAAAATGTTACTTTTCAAAATTCAATCATCAACATTGAAGACTGATTGTTTTTTCCAACCTGAAATGCTTTGAAATCTCAGTTGACTCTAAAAAAACAATTTATTCACACTGGCTACGTATTTCGTGTAAGCCATTTTTAGTGACTAATTATTTACACATTATCTGAATCCACATTTTCGAGCATACAACATATTTATCAATATGACCATCAATCAATTACATTGAAACAGGTTTCAATCTCTCAAAAAATATAAATTCTGTTAACGTCTTGAACAGATCCCAAGAGAAGGTCGTGTTTCATTTCAACGATCTATAACAGTTTTAATCTAATTGACACACAAAGAAACACGCGAAACGTGTAGATTTCTATACGCCTTAGTGTATTTTTTGAGACAAATATGTGCATGTCATGAGTACGCAATATTGAAGAGTTACATACTAAGACGAAAGGAATATCTGATTTTTACAGATTTTAAATGGTAATTTCACATTGATTGATTCATGCCCTCAATGAAATCCAACGATATTCACATTAATTTGCTGACTAATTTGTAATTTGATTTAATCCTGAATTTATTTCTAAGGTCTTGTGGAAGTAGGTAGGCAGGTTGAACGTTTACAAACTGATATATCCGAGTACAATCACCGTCTCAGTAAGTAACATTTACAAAAGTTTAATTTTTTTCAAGTGGTAAACTGTTAAGTAATGACATTTAAACTGATTAATAATTGGAAGCAACTGAATTTACATTACAGTTTATTGATGGTTTCAATTAACCTCGCTATAAATTTGAATTTAAACAATCACTGATGAAAACCATTTCCGTGTTCTGTTCATTCATGTTACTTGTAGTTGTACGTGTCTTCCTACAAGATATTTTAAATAAACTTACGGTAAGTGATAGAGAATGTAAGCAATGAATCCGATTAGATTTATCTCATTTTTCTTATATAATCTATAAGCAATGAATGAATAAGTAATACATTGTGCGAAATGAACAAATATCTCGAATAACAAGATAAATCTTAAGCAATTTGAGTGAAGACAATTACTGCGAAGTATGTCAAAATGTTTGAATCACATGGAAATTAGGATGGACGTTGATAATTGTCATCAGATAGGTCAGTTTAACCGTTCTAATGGTAACAGTTACGAAGAACTTACAAGAACTCAGTTCGTCTTATCTAAAAATGCATCAGTTAGATGGAAAGAATCAGTTATCTAGAAAGAATTTCTTAACTTATTGATTGATGTTGAATAATGTTCTTATTTTTTGTTGTCTTACAGAGACGGTTAAGTTGAAATGGAAAAGGAACTTTGCTATCACTGATGATGCAGAATAGTTTAATATAATTGAATATTGTAACAGTAGATTTTTTGTAATGATAACGAATAATTATTTGACTAACTTTCAATAAAATAAACATATATATTACATCTATGTCTGGTTTTATGGCTGATAAATGTTTACTCAGAGAGCGATCACCCGAAACAGTATGGTTGTCTACACAGCATAGCTTACAAGGCCTGACTTCAATTATTGTGGCATGTGATACGAAGATTTGCCGAATTTCTAGATAATTTTTCCCAGTTCTTTCGTTGTTCTTATTTCGTTTACTAATGATTTATGGAAGGTAGCTGTTACGCATGCACGTAAACATGTCAACTTGATATACATGAACTGTTACGAGGTCCTTAGTCGTTCACGAGAGCGAGGATTGAGAATCCGGTGATACAACATGCTACTCAAATCCGATTATCCCAACCCTCATATTGAGTGAAAATAAGAAGACGTGAGATGAAGTAGAACATGTATTTTACAAGCATCCAGAAAGTGCGAGATCCGATTCCAGAAGAGAATCAGGATCCCGGACTAGGGATCCGTGACCGAGCCCTGGTCCTGGTCGTGGTCATAAAATATTACAAATAATGCGTATTTATATATTTTGGTCGAATATGAAACAGCATCGAATTCTGTGAAATTGACAGTTGGGACGATCAATAGGAAGTAACATTTGAAGTGACATTGATAGTCGGGATGACCAATAAGAGACAACATTTAAGTATTTGACTTTGACAGTTAGAACGACCATAATTTTGACCAATAGAAATCGGCCAATAGGATTTGACCAACAATTCTCATAGGATATTGGCTGAAGATCCGAACAGTTACCGTATAGCTTAAAAAATTTGATCAATCAGTCGATGCAGTCACCAGGCTTTGGAATTATCCTGTATAAAATTATATAGCATATGCATCCGAAGACGAACTTAAATGAACACTACTTCAGGCTGAGTAATTTCTTCGCGTATTATCAAACGATCATTTTAACCATTGCAGCATATTTCCACAGTATGTTTGTTTCAAATAATAATCTTCCTTAAAAGACTTTCGTTCTTCAAATTAATTACGTAACAAAGTCATTGGCTCACTCTACACAATCCCTATAACAATGGCCCAAAGGTTTGTCTGATCAATCTTAGGATACCTAACTTTGTTTATGAATGAAATTCACTTGGAATATGAAAACAGGTTTGAACTGTTTCAGTGGCTTCTCTTTCTTGTCGATTACTGTCAGTGCAAATTTAAGTTGCATTTGGTTGGAACTTCGTCTTTATGCAAGAAAAGAATGAAATTAAATATTATCATTATTACTGACTTTTTCACGCCGGTTACCCTTAGTGTAACATAGACTACTGACCAGAATTCTCCAGTCTACAATGTGCAAGGCCTTCAAATTTCTGTGCTACTTTCGTTCAGTCTTTTCATGCTGGTCTTGCCTTGAAGTTATTTTGTCTTACTCTGATTCATTAGATTTGAGGGTCAAAGTGGTGGCTGATCTTGCTGATTTTCCTTGATTTATGTCACTTACACTTCTAACACTTTTTCCTGACTTCTTCAACTGGTGAAATCTGCATTATTCTCTTACTTACTGGGTTAGTGCTGATTATGTCTGGCCAACGGAATCGGAATATTTTGAGCAGACAACTGTTAATAAATAGCTCTATATTCTGAATGATGGCTAAGAGAGTTTTCCAACTTTTCACCCAATACAGTAGAACCGTCTTGATATTTGTTCTGAATGTTCTGACTTTAGTGATGGTTGATAGTTGTTTTGTCTTTCAGATGTTGTTCAACTACGGAAGCATTTTCCTTACCCCGTCCATCCTCACCTTCAGATCTGCATCAGATCTATCTTACTCGTCCATGATACTTTCCAGATATCTAAAGGATTTTGCGTCCTCCAAGGCATCTGCATCAAGATTGATTTGGTTGGCTCATATTAGGCTGTATTGAAGGATATTGCTTTTTATTTTGCTTATGTTGAAACCTACTGCTGCTGAGGCTATCGCCACACTGATCAACTTCTCTTACATTAGTTGTTCCGCGTGCGATAGGAGCGTTAGAATATATTAGAAGTCTTGCTCGCACAGCAACATCCGAGCTGTTCACTGTATCTCATGCTTACTCTCAAATGTTGACATCTCCATAATCCGGTCAATCAGCAGGATAAATAGGAATAATGACAGTAAGCAGCCTTGCCCAACAGCAGGCTTTACTTCAAAGACGTTTGTCAGCTGTTCTTCATGCATGATTTGGCATTTAACTGCTTCATAATAATTTCGTGTTAGTTGAAATGCATTTTCCTACACGCAGCTTTATCGAAAAAGCATTCATAGTGTTATCCTGTCCAGACTATCAAACAATATCTCGTATTCAATGAAGTTGATGTAGAGTCGTGAGTTCTATTCAATTGATTGTTCCAAAATGATCCATCATGTTGTCACTTCTTCAGTGTATGGTGGAACATTACGGAATCGAGGTAGGTGATCTCAGAGTCCTACATTCTCTTTTACAACACCCTTTGAAGACTCTTCTTGGTATTGAGAAAAAATGATGCATTTACGGATCTTAGTTTTACTGAGATCGTTTTTCTTTAATATCGGTGGTTGTTCAACATGTCAAATCTTTCTGAACAGAGCATTCAGTATTTCTGAGGTAGCTGTTATGTATGCTTATAATGTCTTCACTGAAACCGTCTGAAGCTGCTGCTTTGCCGCTCATTTTTTGAGTGATAGAGACGACAATCTCTTCAATCGTTTGTGAACCAGCAGTTATTAGGAGTCCATCAGAGGTGCTTCTATGTTGGGAGTGTTAAAGAGCACTTGGCGATTTAGAAGTTTTTCAAAGTGCCTCATCCTGCTGTTACACCTTCATTCAATGCTAGTGGTTGCTTTGTGTTTCTTGCGCATCACTGTTCATTCTGGTCAACCATTATTTTCAATGGACTCCGTTGTCGAATCATATAATATTCTCACGTTTCCTTCTATTATGGCTATTCTACTGTTGTTGCCAGATCCTCTACATATAAACCGGTAATCACTGATTGTGTGGGCGATGACTTCAATTCACCCATGTTTGTGCTGCAGAACATGTTGTACGCTTTCAACATTTTTCATTTGATAAGACGACTAATCGATGATATTGAGGTTACTGCTACATGCTTCCTACTTCTGAGAGCAATGTTTCCAAAAATATTTATAGGCAGCTATTCAGCCTGTAAACTGGCAAGCGTTTTGTAACGTACTATCATTTGAGAACGTTGGTTTCATCCCTACCGTTCAGAAGCAAGGCTATTTGTGAGGACTTCAACATGCCTGCAATCTCTTGGTTCCCAGTCAAAGCACCTAGACGATTCGAGCCATTTATTGAATGCATAGAGCTCGGAGAGTGGACTCAACATGTTAACGGCCCAACCAGAAATGAAAATACACTGGATTTAGTTTTCACCAGCAATCTCATTCCTCACACTGTGTATGTTGGAAAAAAGTTCCCGCAACTGCCTCAGAAGCATTGACTGGAAAAACTGCTTTACTGCAAACAATACTGATGAACTAATAAATGTATTTTATCACAACACAAGTAGCATTTTCAACAAATTTGCACCTTTAGAATCCTGGAGACCCAGAATTCCTAAGGACTTATTTATGCCAGGTCATATACGAAAACGTCTTCGAAGACATGCTTCCAGATTTCATAACTGTAATGACTTCTCCGCATTAGTAACGATGACTGAAATATGTGTCGAGGCAGAAATAACACGTACTAAAAAGGTAATCGCACAGAAAGCGTGCTGTTCAGCTGAAAAATGAATCATCTGAACTCATAAAACTCCTTCGGAATAAACTAAAATGCTCCAAAGTAAAATGAGGGAGCATATTTATTAAGGACAATCAAGTGTAAGAAGACCCTGAAAGTATCGCAGAGTTGTTTAGCGAACATTTTTGTGACACATTAACAAACGAAGATGGACCAGATGGCATCCCTGCCAGCATGCTAAAAAATGGTAGCAATGATGTGAGTGCTATTCTTCTCAAACTATTTACTATATCTCTCTCCACAGAGTTTTACCCTAATAACTGGAAGACTATACATATCATCCCCACAATAAAATCTGGGCCTACAGCGAACGCTGAAAATTACCGACCTGTAAACATAACTTCGGTAGTATCTCGGGTCATGGAGAAAATAGTTAAGGCAGAGTTACTACAACATCTACTTATTAACAATCTGATATCGACCTCACAGCACGGGTTCTTGAGGTCCAGGTCGTGTGATACATGTCTGTTAGATTATTTCAACGATATCACGAATGAACAAGACAAAGGGCTTCTGATATCAGTCCTTTTCTTCGATTCTAAAAAGGCTTTTTACAAAGTCCCACACAAAAGGCTTCTACTTAAACTGAAGTAGAAACATCAGCTCACCTATTGCAGTGCGACAGTCAGTTGACTGACATCACCGCTACACACGAAACACGTTCCCATGACACAGTAGAACAGTTAATCCATGCCACAGAATATATTATTTGCTGTAGATTTCGGTGCTGTCGAATGAAAAGCGCAATCGTTCTAGAGAAGAAGTGCAAAATTGTCGAGGGCAATCGTGCTCAAATCACAGCAACACACACTGATTATTTGTGCGTTCAATGCGAAATACACGAAAGTACATTGAAACAATCACTGGTACAATTACTTGTATTAATCAATGTCTATACTGAACCAGTCGCGTTCTCTTCACTAAACTCATGTCACTATCAATGTAGCATGTAAGCGTGCGATCGTAGCATATGGCAACTTGACGGACGAGTTAAGGTAATATGGAGGTTGGCTTGAAATGAACTGCGTTCTGAAATGTTCATTTTCGGAACTGCGCAATGATATATGATAAGCTGCATGTGAATACAGATACTGTGTGCTTGTTGCGATGTTCGGACATTGAGACCTGTTAGTTAATTTGTCAGAGAATCTAAGATAAACAGTAACACTTCGTGTGTAGTAA